ACCCAGGCGCCCCGCACAGTTTTTAAGAAAAGTGTTTCAGGGCACCTGGTGGCTCAGTCCGTTAAGCATCTCCCTCTTGATTTCAGCTCAGGTCATGATCTCATGGTTCATGAGTTTGAGCCCCACATCAGGGTCTGCACTGGCAGTGAGGAGCGTGCTTGAGATTCTTTCTCTCCCCTTCTCTCTACCTCTCCCGTGCTCACAGGCATGCATGCTCTCTCTCAAAATAAATAAATAGACATTAAAAAAGAAATTAAAAAAAAAAGAAAGTGTTTCGTTTAAAAACGGCACATAATAGTATGTGCCATTAGCCAAATGGTGGACCCACCCATTCCTGATTAAAGAGCATTTTGATTTCAGGGGGATTTATAGTCATCATTTAACCCACTTGACTAAATAGTCACTTCCTTTTCATATGCTCTCACAGCCTCCTGAACCTTCCCTTCATAGCCCTGATGGCACGTGTAACTCACGTGGTTAATACCCAACTCCCCACTAAACTGTACAGTCTGAGGGCAGGAACCATGTCTGTTTTGGCTTAATATCATTACCTTCTTCAACAACTGTTGGGAACATAGTAATTACTGAAATGTTTGTTCAGTGAGGGGAAACTTTTTTCAGTGAGGGTTCACTTTTTTCTTCAGGAAACAGTAGCAATTCACAATTGTTTTCTTTGTAAGAACAGTGACCTTCGAATAAGATTCATCATAAAATCAAACTGTAGGCATCCCTGAGTTTTCCTAATTTCCACTATAAGACAAGATGAGTTCTGGCTCCACAATGGCTTTCTTCCCACAGGGTTAAACCCCTAACTCAAGCGGAGCAGATTTAACTTCATCAATCCAAAATATCAGGCAAGCAGCCTGACTTTCTGTTGGGTCACGATACCTACAAGTACAGGAGGCTTCTTCCCTCAATGAGCAGTATATGGCTGAGAATTACTAACTGAAAGGTTTGCTTTGCTAACAGAGATCATTCTTTCCTTCCAGGCTGGTTATATGATTACACCCAGACCTACACTGGCTCCTTCTACTTCTCTGGCACATGTTATCTCCTCTCTTCGGTCTCCTTTTTCTTTGTACCCTTGGCTGAGAGGTGGAAAAAACAGAGCCTGACCAGGAAGAGAAAGGACTGCAATGAAGCGAGAGCTTAACAAAACAAAATCTAAACAAAGAAGTCACTGGAACAGCAGCTTGGAAGAAAACAGTTTCCGGGGCGCCTGGTGGCTCAGTCGGTTAAGTGTTCAACTTTGGCTCAGGTCATGATCTCACAGTTCGTGAGTTCCAGCCCCGCGTCGGGCTCTGTGCTGACAGCTCGGAGCCTGGAACCTGTTTCAGATTCCGTGTCTCCCTCTGTCCCTCCTCTGCTCATGCTCTCTCTCAAAATATATAAACATACATTTAAAAAATTAAAAAAAATAGTCTATATGGAAAAATTATTAAAAAAAAAGTTTCCTCATTTATAAAATGAGAAGGCAAACCAGACAGTTTTTAAGGTTCCTTTTTGCTTCAGCATTCTGAGCAATGTCTAACTGCTAGTAAGAGTAATAAACACTTAAACTAAGTCCTTTATTAGTATTTAATCAAATAGGCTAAACTCTTCATCAGTCAAAACAACTACCTTACGTATTAAATAAAAATCAGAATGTACTGTAATAATAAACTGACCAAACTCTCAACTGTGTCAGGGTAATTCAGTCACTAAAATATGTAAAGATGAAAAACCACTCTTGTTAGCTTAAAAAAGTGTTAAATGTAGGAGTGCCTGCCTGCGTGGCTCAGCTGGTTGGGCATCCGACTTCAGCTCCGGTCATGATTCTGCGATTCTGCTGAATCGCAGCCCCGCATCAGGCTCTGTGCTGATGGCTCAAAGCCTGGAGCCTGTTTCGGATTCTGTGTCTCCCTCTCTCTCTGCTCCTCCCCCACTCCTGCTCTCTTTCTGTCTCTCAAAAATAAATAAACGTTAAAAAAAAAAAGTATTAAATGTAGCTACTGGTTGACTATGACTCTGAAATCTGAATGAATATTAAAATTTTATTTAGTGATTGAATTGTATAACCCCCCCCCAAAAGCTTATTTCTCCTTATTGATTAGAAGTAATCTTTGTTTTCATTATGTTTCCTAAATTTTCTGTGATGAATGTATATTGCTATGTAATAAAAAACAGAATTGCTAAAAACCTCCTTTATGTCAAAATCATTTGAATAGCATTCCTGCCTTTCCAAACAATATTACCTTTCACTACATCTAACTATCTAAAATATTCAAGGCAAATGATCTAGATGTGTCTTCAGAACTACAAGTTTTATATAATGGTTGAATAGGTAGCTTTTACTGGAAGATAGACTTAAACTAAAAGATGTTTCTTAAATATGGAATAAATATGTTACCTAGGTAATAACATTATTCAGACTAAGCAATACATGTGAATAGAGAGCCCTTCATTATTTGGGTGATTTTAAGAGGAAACAAAAAATCCTCGAGTTCTCTGTAACACCAAGCTCCCTTATAATCTCTTTCAGAACACTCTTGAAAACTATTGTTATTAAAAATAATTAAAATTAAACAAAATAATTAAAATTAATTAAAAATTATTATTCTAAACTTCCATTCACCTCTGCTTTAAAATATTATTTAATATTAATAATCATTTTAAACAACCGCCTCACTATAGAGAGAAAGACTAAACTGAAACCCTGGCTTTGACTCTAAAATACATACCCTCTCAACTCCCTGTGTAGGCTTCTGTGAAAGCTTTGCATAGTCTCACCCTTCACAACCTGACTCACTCAAAGGCCACCTCCTCCGGAGACCTCCCCTAGCAGGAAGTCATTCTCTGGTCTGAATCCCAACTTTTTTTTTTTTTGAGAGAGAGAGAGAGAGAGAGAGCGCGTGTGAGCTCGCACAAGCAGAGGAGGAGCAGGGACAGAGGGAGCTCCACATTGTCAGCGCAGAGCCCGACGCAGGGCTGGAACCCACGAACCATGAGATGATGACCTGAGCTGAAGTCACACACTTAATTGACTGAGCCACCCAGGTGTCCCCCCATCTACCTTTTAACAGAGTACTACATGAGCTTACATGTCGCTCCACCATTAAATCTGCAAGATCAACAAGCTGGATGGTGTTCTACTGATCTTTGTATGCCCAGCATAAACTTTGGAACCAAATTAATCTGGGTTCAAATCTCAGTTATCTTAAAAACAGTAGTTAGTCCTATTTAAAACCTAGGTTTTAGGAGCACCTGGGTGGATCGGTCGGTTAAGCATCCCTTCAGCTCAAGTCATGAGCTCACGGTTCGTGGGTTCGAGCCCCATGTCTGCTTGGGATTCTCTTTCTCCCTCTCTCTCTGCCCCTCCCCTTGCTCTGTCTCTCTCTCTCAAAATAAATGAATAAACTTAAAAAAATTGTTTTTTAAACCTAGGTTTTACATTTATTTTTTTAAATTTATTTTATTTATCTTTTTAATGTTTTTATTTATTTTTGAGACAGAGAGAGAGAGCATGAGCAGGGGAGGGACAGAGAGAGAGCAAGACACAGAATCTGAAGCAGGCTCCAGGCTCCGAGCTGTCGGCACAGAGCCTGATGCAGGGCTCGAACTCACAGACTGTGAGATCATGACCTGAGCCGAAGTCGGACGCTCAACCGACTGAGCCACCCAGACGCCCCTAGGTTTTACATTTAGACATAAATGTCTAACATTATCTTTCTATTTTAGACATAAGACAGTATGAAAAAAACAAACACTACCCTGCTTACACACACAAACAGCAAAAACAGTTAATAAATTCCCACTCTTGTTGCCTGTTGCCATATCACCTCATGAAGGTTATCAACCTGGGTGCCACTTTTATCCTCCATACATGAGGTTAACAGCACTAACCCACCTCACAGATACACTCTAAGGCCTAAATGAAAATACACCTGTACTATGCAAAATAACCCTCATACACAGTAGCCGCAAATTTCCTTTCTTCTTTCTACATCCAAACAGAAGCTAAATAAATCAGTGATTTATTAGGCACCACACTCATCCATCCCCCTTTCTCTTGTAAGCAATAATTTTCTCAAAAGAGACTTTACCTAGGACAATGAGATTCCTTCCTCCTATGAAAGCAGACTGTACATTTTAAGTAGGACCAACTGAAGAATTCCAAGTTGAATACCGACTTGAACAAACTTTATGAATCTTATGCAACAGAGCAACTCTTCACCCTGCTCAAACCTGGGTGGTGTGCAGGGGCGCCTGGGTGGCTCAGTCGGTAAAGCGTCGAACTTTGGCTCGGGTCATGATCTCGCGGTTTGTGAGTTCCAGCCCCGCGTTGGGCTCTATGCTGAGCTCAGAGCCTGGAACCTGCTTTGGATTCTCTATCTCCCCCTCTCTCTGCCCCTCCCATGCTCATGCTCTGTCTCTCAATAATAAGTAAAAACGTTAAGAAAAAAAATTTTAAACCTGGGTGGTGTGGATTAAAAAGTCTGATTTCCGGGGCGCCTGGGTGGCGCAGTCGGTTAAGCGTCCGACTTCAGCCAGGTCACGATCTCGCGGTCCTGAGTTCGAGCCCCGCGTCAGGCTCTGGGCTGATGGCTCAGAGCCTGGAGCCTGTTTCCGTTTCTGTGTCTCCCTCTCTCTCTGCCCCTCCCCCGTTCATGCTCTGTCTCTCTCTGTCCCAAAAATAAATAAACGTTGAAAAAAAAAAAAATTAAAAAAAAAAAAAAAAAGTCTGATTTCCTAGGCTACAAGACGTTAAAGACAGCTATAATTAATGTAGTCCTTGTTTTAACAACTAACTTATGATGTTCCTATTCATTTATTACTTTTCTTGGACAATATTCTAAGATGTCACCACGTCTCTTAAGAATCCATAACCTAGAAATACTACTATCCCAGAGTTTTAAGAAAAGCAAAAACAGTTCACTGGTCTTCTTTTCCCTTCCCCTTCAAGAGATCCCTAGGAGACAGAGAGGAAACAAATATTAAATTAGGATACACAGCTGTGTGTGTGGAGTGGTAGGGTGGTGAACAACTTTATTTCAACATCCAATGTATACTACTTACTGGGTGAGGCACATTTTATATATTATTGTATTTAATCTTCACCACCTTTAGAAGCAGATACTAGGATGCCCATCTTACCAATCAGTAAGGCTTAAAGTCAAATTAAGCACCCAGTAAACACTGGAGTCACAATTCAAACAGACTGACAAGAAACCCTACACTTTCCTCTTTAGATCACCCTGACTTTTTGGCAGTACACAAAATCATGAAGTTAATTTAACTGAAAGCAGTTATCTTATAATAAATTTATTCTAAAATCGGCATAAAATGTTATCATATGTCGACTGAAATGGAAAGGAGAATGCAAAGTACCTAAGAACCAGAACAGATTAAAGCCACAAAAGACAATTTGCTACGGTGCAGTAAAAATGTAGTTGTTATGATAATTAACATTTTTAGGTCTTCTAATATTCACCGAATCTTAAGCAAAGAAGGTAATGCCTGAGTATAGGCCACCTGTAGTTTCTCGATACTAAAATATTAGTCGCCATGTTCATAAATTGTAAGCCTTGACATATATATAGATTTTTTTATTTAGTAGAGCTATGACAACTTGAATGTAAAAGTTCAGTGTACTTTCCTCTCAGCTACGTTTTGGCTTAAAACTGTTAAGATGCCACCCCTTGCAGCTCTAACTCTAAGAAATGCCATACTAACATTGTAAAAGAAGGAATTTTCTACATATGTTCATCACTAAGGACGATTTCTAATACTAAAACTCTAGTTTTTCTACTAAAACTCTAATACTAAAACTCTAGTCACGGTACCTTTAACTTTTTAAAGTTCTTTCCTACCTAATACCTCATTATCATCGAGTTAAGCCTTTAAGGAAGTTGGGTAGGTATTATTATTCCTATTTTATACTGAAGGAACAAAAAGCAAATTAAGACCAAGTAGGGGCGCCTACTTGGGTGGCTCAGGCGGTTAAGTGTCTGACTTCGGCTCAGGTCATGATCTCACGGTTTGTGAGTTCAAGCCCCACATCGGGCTCTGTGCTGACAGCTTGGAGCCTGGAGCCGGCTTCAGATTGTCTCCTTCTGTCTCTGCCCCTAACCCACCTGCATTCTGTCTCTGTATCTCTCAAATATAAATAAACATTAAAAAGAAAATTAAGACCAAGTTATTTGCCTAAAGTTACAAAGTTAGTCCTTCACAGGGCCAACTCTGAAACCTAACTACCAGTGTTGATGAGATCATGGTCCCTGGCTTTCCTTCTTTAAGGATTCTCTGGAGGTTATGGGGCACCTGGGTGGTTCAGTCAGTTAAGCGTCCGACTTCGGCTCAGGTCATGATCTCACAGTTCGTGAGTTCAAGCCCCGCGTCAGGCTCTGTGCTGTCAGCTCAGAGCCTGGAGCCTGCTTTGGATTCCCTCACCATTCTCCGCCCATTCTCTGTTTCTCTCTCTCAAAAATAAACAAACATTAGGGGTGTCTGGGTGGCTTAGTCGGTTGGGTGTCCGACTTCTGCTCAGGTCCTGAGCTCACAGTTTCTGGGTTTGGGCCCCACATAAGGCTGCTTGGGATTCTGTGGGGGCCCCCCCCCCCCCCCCCGTTCATGCTCTGTCTCTCTCTCTCAAAAAATAAACATAAAAAAAAAAAAAAAAGGATTCTCTGGAGGCTAAAATTTAATAAAAGCTACAACTAAACTTAAATGGACCAAAATGATAATTTTGCGATATTTTTCAAATAATCTAGGTATATTAATATATAGGACGCTATGTTTACAAAAATTAGTTTACTTAATGAACTTGTCCAGTTGTAAAATCAACTATTTCCATGAGAAAAAACACACAATGTATTAATATTTTAGTTATTTTTAAGCAAGACATAATACAAAACATGGACAATGGTTTCTCTGAAATCTTCAATATAAAACTAAAGCCCAAAACTTTCTAAAAACCTTAAGTGTGTTTCTCTTATGCCGAAACCAACTGGTAGGAGGCTTTATGTCTACATATCTGCCTACTTATTTCTCACAAATATCTACCCAATTGTCTCAGATTTATGCCTAAGATATTAACATATACACAAATGCAAAATAACAAAAGTGGTTGGAATCAACTTCTAAATAAATCAGTTAAAGTTCATGTTTTATTTCTGAGAGGTAAGCTGCCATTACCTGGGATCACTGAGGCAAATGACAACCATTTCTTAAAGAAAAAAAAAAGAACCTAATCCATGGCAACATTCCAACAGAAGCTAATATACTGTGGAATCTCCTCTATACACAATAATGATGAATAGTAAGTTAGTGAGGCCTTTTTAGGGATACAGAGAATAAACTAAGACAGGGTAACCAACTGTCTGGGTTTGGCTGGAAATGAGGGAGGTTCCTGGGTCACGGGACTTTCAGTTTTAAAACCAGGATGAGTTGGCTACCTTTACTAAGGGGTAAAGAACACATCTGGATGTTTAGATGGTTGATAGCACACAGCTAAAACCTGAAGTTTTTTTCCTAGCCGCCCTCTCCCCGTCCCCCCAAAATCACAAATTCAATTCTATTTTTACCTCATTCAAGCCCCAGCGAGCAAACAGAAACACGATACACATTAGTAGTTAAAGAAGGGAGGCGTACATTTTTCATGAGAATCTACTCTCGGCCATGAACCGAGCAGGGACTTGGAAGTGAGAGAAGACTTCCAGCTTTCACTTCTACAATTTTCATAGAACTGACAATTTGAGCTGAAATCAAGCCAAGAGGTCCCACTCTTTGCTACGTGTCAACCAACATCGTTGCTGTTTCAGCAGGGAAGAGAAGTCTACCCCTTAAGAGAAATATGTCAGGACCAAGGAAATGAGATAGATACGTTTTTAAAGGGCAAGAGCCAATACGGCCTTCTTTCCAATATCTCAAAGCTAGTCCGAGTTTAGTATACATTATCTACATACACCAACCTGTAGATCGGAGTGTATCACACTTGATTACACAATCTCAAGCCTAAATGCCCCAGCTGTGTATCACAGCCCTCTGAAGCCATAGCAGTAAGATGACTCACCAACTGGCAGGTGTCTTAGGGTCTACAAATAATGGATGTCTGCCTGGATGAGAACAAATGTATGTGCCCAACAGACGACCTCATCCTGCTTGGCAAAGAGAGGAGAGAAACTAAAAAACTGGTCAGTAGTACTGTACTTGTTTTATAACGGAAAAAACCAGACTTAGCTCAAAAGAAGAGACTTGTAATTCATGCAGACTTTTAAAATGTCCTCTGTACATACTTCATATTCCAAAATTTTCACTTACCAGAAAGGTACAATAGAATAAGATCTAAGAGGATAAAAATCAGCTTTATAACCCCCAAATTAGAAACAAGTGAAAGTGAGAATTATCAGACTGAGTTCACTGTTTCAAGAAATGTGAAGTCAGAGTCACCAGAAAAATAAATCCATATTTAAACCCTCCTACTATATTTAATGACCTGATGTCAGTTTCCACTCAAGTGAAAATTAGTAGCTCATGTTTGAGTTCTAGTTCACTGATGTAGGTCTTTATGTGGAAACTGACACCATGCCAGTTAATAAGATATGGGTTTATAAATATGGAGTTTGAAAGAAACTTACCCTTTCCCTTTGTGCAGCTCTGACTTCCAACCCAGTTTCTATAGAAACAGGAGGACAAGTGCCAGTGCCAGAAGTCTGCCAATTAGAACTCATCTTTTAGTTGCTGAATAATAAAGCCGTATCCCAAAGTCGGCTATAGGTTTTTGATTGTCAGTAGTTCCTAAAAAGAAACCCAGGAGGAAAAAAAGATGTTTAACCAATTATTGTACTTAGAAATGCTCCCTCCTTTAAACTTGGCTATTAAAAAAAGCAGAGGAGGCTGATCCAATACCATATATGTTTAAAAACATTATTTATTAAGAGCTTCAGACACTTCTAAACTTAAGGAGCACCAACAGAAGAAAAGGTGTCTTGGTGAATGTTTTTTTTAGAATCTTCTATCATAAAAATCTACACATTAAAAATCATTCCTGTATCAAAATTGATATATTGCAATTTAGAGTATTCTCTGAACATTCATACCAGGCCATTCCCTGTAATATATAAATCTTAATATTTATTGTGTTATTTATCACTGTGATTAATATGAATTAAGAGCTTGATTCTTGTTGCTATGTGAGGACAACCAATTTATGAAGTTACTATCACGCTACAATTAAAAAAACAAAGGCAATCAGAATTTACTCTCAATCCTTTCCACATCCATTCCCCTAGAAAGATCTAAACCTACTTCTACCAAATATTCTAATGTGTGGGGCACCTATCAGCAAACAGTGTCTCAAGTATCCTCACCATTATCTGTAAAAAATAACACAATGAAAAAATATCTCACAATGAAGAGTGGACTAGAATGGAACAGGAAGGAAGAAAAAAACACATAAGCGTAACAAAATAAGCAAGAGCCAACCAAGACAGGCAATAGCAACCCTCCCCGTCTAGGTGACAGAAACCCCTGGTAATTTTCTGTCACCAGAAGCTCACTACCTAAGAACTCTTTGTTCCTACTTGTTGGAAATATTTTCTAAATGCTTTAAAGTGAATGTCACTGACTATCTGAAAATGTCACTGAAATCTGAAAATCTTATGTATGAGGTATAAGATTCTAAACATCCATTTTTATTACAGAGAATATGTATGTATCTACAACTTAAGCAGCTTTTCTTGAACTTTAAAGTACATACGAATTACCTAGGGATCTCATCCCATGCAATGGGTCGGGGTGAGACCCTGTAATTCTTTATACTTCTAACAAGTTTCCAGGTGATGCTAATGGCTGCTGGTCCGAGGTCCACACTATCAATAGTAAGGCTACACTCTGAGAGTTTTGGGTTTTGATTTTCAAACAGTGCTTAAGAGGTTCATTGTACGTGTTTGTACGTATGCTTATGACCTGTCTCTAGGGCAACAGATCTTAACCCTGGCTACACATTAGAATCATTTGGGGCACTTAAAACAAAAATATAATACCGGGACCTTGGCAGAATCCCACTCCACCTAGATCAATGTAAATGAATCTGAGAGAGGAATTTCCAGGTTATTAGTATCAAGAAGTTCCTTAGATGATACTGATGTACAGCCAGGTTTGAAACCTCTGCTGTAGAATGCAGAAAAATTCCAGTCAAGGAGTCTTTGTTTACCGAAGTATTTCTGATATAAAGAATATACACAAACTAGATGCCTATCCTGGAAGCAAGGCAAAACTGACAGTCAATTTCTATATGCTAACATATAGCATAGACTATATGGGACTAGGTGAAGGATAGTTGTGTTACTTTCCTGAGACTGGTAGTCAAATCTTGATCAAGTCACATCACTCTGCCTCCTTGAAACTTTCAATGGCTTTCTACTACATTCAGCATTTGTCCTTGGCAACTGGCCCTGACTTACACTTCACTATCTCCCTTCTTCCATCAGAATGTCAGCTCCATGAGAAAAACTTGTTTTCTTTACCAATATACTCCCAAGATCTACAATAACTCCTGGTACATAACAGATACCTAAATATTTGAAGAATTAGCCATACTAACTGAAGACAAACCCAGTTTAGATAATGCAAAATAGGAAATCTTGCAACCATTTAGAAATCAAAGATACACTCAACTTTATCTATAATTCCATTCTGTCTCAATCCTGTTAGTAACCTAGTTAGGAGGTAGCAGATATAGGTGTGGTTCATTCATGGAAAGCAACTTGCACATGTACATGCACGTATATATTCATATCCTAGAGTCACTTTCGATTTTAATTTCAGACAGACTACAGTCACGTTATTTTTAGATTAACATCTGAAAACTCAAGAATATCCCAATCAGTTCCTGGCTCTGTATCCAACAACCAACTCACAAAACTTTTCTCGTATCCCTTTAGCATTTCATAAACTGAACAGTGGCCCTTCTCACAGACTGTTATGAGGCAAAATTACATACT